CCTGAAGTTCACCATTAAAAGGGTTCATCCAAGGAAAATCATGGAATTATTGGTTATAAAGATGATTGTTGGCATATCCTATGCAATATATCTAAATTGAATAATGGTACCAGATAAAATTATAGATGGGAATGAAGCTTGTGTATCAACCATTATCATGTGTAATCAATAAACGATTTAATTCTCTTGAATGAAATGACAACTGTATGGATTTGGGACTGGCAGAGATTTGGACTTTCCCTACCCACTACCCCTGATAATGTTAAATGCTTCTACCACAATTCAAGTTCAAAGCTCTGCCAGATAATAGAAACCAGCTGCTGGCTAATGCCACCCAATAAATCCACAGATTAGAAGTGTTTGGGAGACCTTTTTAAAATGACCAGTACCAGTAAGAAGTTTAATGAACGTAAAAATAGGCTTACATTAAAGGAAAACTGCAGTTTTAATGGGTTTTGGTTGGGTGGGTCTTCAGAAGTTTATAGGGTAACCACAGTAGTTAAATTAGAAATTGAAACTATAAAAGTAGAAGGAATTATTCTTTTCTACATAATTTGGTGTTAACTGCAGTTTTCCTTTATATGGCACAAGATTACACAACCATCCTATAGTATTAATTGTATAGAAAATGATATCTAAACTTTCGACAGTTAATATCCAACAATTGTTATTTGTACATAGGTTATTTTGAGCCTTGCCTTTACCCTCATAATTTCAGTGCCATTGTACCTAGTAGCATAGCGATTTGTTTATCAATAGGAATTGTATATTCCATCCCATGGGTGTGTGACTCGGAAGTTTGGGGAGGAGGGTGGTTGGAGGAGGGTGGGAGGTGGTGGTGGGTGGGAAAGCATGGGTGATAGTTCCATGATATTGGCTGAGTTTGCAATAGCAGGTGGAACCTTAACTATTGAGGGAGTTTGCAGATACCTCAGGATTCGTGACAATGCCTTTAAAGATCCAGGAGAGATGTTCAGCTACTAGGAACTGCTAGCAAGTATAGCGCGAATGGCTCCGAGCTCAGACACTCTGCAGCTGAGAGTAGACACTTGTGGTATGTGGAGTACAGATAAGCCAGGGACAGGCCACGACACGCTCCTTGAAAGCTAGGAGGGAGTGAAGTTTCAGTGATCATCGCAAGGAAGGAGGCAGACAAGAGTAAGGCACACCTGACTCTTAGGACTAGCAGTCAGAACCAGGAGGAAAGGTTTTATTGCTATGCTTGTAGGTAAGAACAGATTTTACTTACATCCATATAGTTACCTAAAATCCAGTTTTGTTACATTTTCCTTAATATATTGAGCCAAAACTAGTCCAGTTAAGCTGCACTTGGTTTTTCTGGAGATGAATTGTTTTAAATTGACACCCTACTGTTGGTGGCTCCCAATTGAAGGAAGTGAGCACATTAATTACTACTATCATAATATATTTTTGCCCTTTAATTTTATTTACCTTCCTTTGACCCATTTCCTTAAAACAATGGCTCAAAGTAATGCATTAGAATCTTTTCCCCAAATGGTGGGAGGATGGGTGGACCATTAATGGGAGGTGGGAGGTTTAGCTTGAGATGGGACTTGGTCTCAGAAAAGAGCTAGTTCTAAAGGTTCTTTACTTTTCTAGGGAGGAGTCTGCTACTACTACTGTCTTATCAACTGTTTAAAAAAAAAAAAAGTTAAAAAAACCAGAAACTCATCTGTCCAAGTTCATGGCTAAAAGGTAAGCTTTTATAAGGTAATGATCAGCAATAGTGCTCTGTATTCCCAAAGTAAAAAAATGACAAGGCATCTCAACTCATCTCAAAATGATGAGTTGCAAAAACAATTAGGCTGGGCACAGCGTACATAAGTGTAGAATCTGGCAACTCTGCTTATGTAAATGCTTCATAACCTCTTTTTCCTTTTGCAGGAACATCCTTGTGAGGACAACCTTTATCTGAGCCACTGTACTTCATTTTCACTGCCATGCAGTTGACGTTAGCTGCTTGCAGCTCTAATTGATCATTCTATTTTGTGAATGGGTTTTTAAATAAATAATTTGCGTTTAACTTAGTTCTGTTTGTTTTGTCATGGTATCTATGGTAAATAGCTTCATACTTTACATACTATACCTTTTCAGATTTGGGAAATGTGGGTATCTGACATACCAGTTGTCTGATAAACTGAAGTTTTTAGCAGCCCCTTTTTAATCCCTTACTAGTGTTTCCTCAGATCCTTAAATTTGTAAGGCACAAGGCATTGTGTGGGCATCAATGCTTAGAAAACATGGAAAAACAAATATCTTAATGCATGTTGAAATTCAGGTTAGGGAGGATTGGTTGTAGAAGTCTTAACACTATGTTTTATTTACTATGCTCAAATTTATCCCATTCAGTGTCATGGTTTAATGAAAATAGAAACAAGCTCTCACTGCAGGAGTAACTCTTGGCCCAGTAGAAGTAAGCTGTTTACTGTCACTCCACTTGAGCATGTCCTTTTTCTAGCTCCCTTGGCAGGGGACAATCGAGTTGTACAAGCTTAACATTGCCATTGAGCTCAGGAGGTCTCCACTGGGAGCCATGCTTACCATCTGTTGCAGAGTGTGGAGGGGCATAATGGATCTCATCTTTGGCAAATAAGTATTTATTGGCCAGCTATCTGGTACTTGAGTAGAAATCTCAAGCCAGGAATTGCCACATTTTGTGAGCTTGGAAAAAATGGAGAATCATCTGTTAGGTGAACTAGTAAAATCAAGTTTCTTTTTAATTATATATAATATTTAAGATAAAAATCAGATTTCTGAACAGCTAGCCCAAGGGCCGCACCTTTTACAACTTGAAATGTGGGGAAATTTTCATTTTTTTAAAAACTTAGTGTATCAAATTTTTGAGAATGTAAAGTTGTCTGGACTGTTTTCAACTCTATTAAGAAGAGGAAGATTCAAGTTGCTTTCATTCCCTAGACTTAAAGGCATGAAGATTCTACACCTTTAATCTGTTTTCATGTCTCAACATCTGTGGTGTCTATATCAGAACTTGGAAATAAGGTTTCCATGTTGTAGTGGAGCCAGTGAAATAAATGGGTAGAGGTAAAATATTCCAAAGAGGTAAACTATAATTTCAGTTGCTCAGAAGATTAGGAACCACCCAGCTGGTGGAAGGAGATAGTGTGGAGTCAGGTGGTCTTATTTTCAGAGACAGGGTCTCTTTCATCCTGGCTGGAGAACAGTGACATGGTCATATCTCACAGAGGCCTCAAACTGGGCTCAGGAGATCCTCCCCCTCAGCCTCCTGAGTAGCTGGAACTATAGGTGAGCACCACCATGCCCGACCAATTTTTAAATTTTTTGTAGAGGTGGATTTTGCCGTGTTGCCCAGGCTGGTCTTGAACTCCTGGTCTCAAGTGATTCTCCCCTCTCCCAAAGTGCTGGGATTACTTAGTGAGGCACCACACCCATCCTGTCTGGGATGTTTGATTGGACTTTTTTTTATGTGGCTAAGGAATCTGGTACTTAGTCCAATTGTATTCTGTTTCAAGAAGAAACAGTAAGCAAAACTTAAAGAATCTAGAAAAGGAGGGCCCCCAAACAAGAACTGGATAGTGTTTGTCTCATATAACCAGAAAAAGAAAGTTTGACAGGAATGCGTATTTTACACCACTGTGGAGCAGGTTTTATCAAGGTTTGGGTATGAAATCTTCTGAAACTTTCGTGTCTAATCAAACTCATTCCAGTCAAGAACAGCTTGCTCAGTTTGACCAAGCCCAGCCATGTTAGCACCCAGGCTGAGAAGCAGGACATTGATTAATGCATATAGTATGCCTGTGTCAAAACATCACATGTACCCTATAAAGATATACAACTACTATGTACCCATAATAATTTTTTTTTTTTTAAGTAAGCAGGAGGGAAAGAATAGAAAAAAAGCCTATGGGTGTTCTAGCTTTTTTTGTGTTCCAAGGATTAACAGAGGAGAGACCTCAGGGAACTTGCATGGAAGGTCTAGCCAGTTCTGGCAGCTCTCCAAGCTCTATAAATAGGGTTTAGGAGGTGTGAGATTCCTCAGATCATGCATGGCCCATCACTCTGAAAAGGGATGAAGATGGGAGATGTCCATGTTGCCCAAGCCCAAGTTTTGTATGCACCTTTCATACAGAGCTCTGAGGGGGAAGAAATGAGCTTGGCAGTATTCACTGCCTATCCCCAACAGGTAGTGATCACTGAGGAGTGCTAAGCTTCATCACCCTCCCTCAAGAAGGAAGACACAATGAAGGGCTATTTCTGGAGATCACTTTATAGACCAAAGCTTAGAGGAGGTGGGGGTTGGAGATCTGAGAAGCTAAGTCAGGGAAGAGATTCCAACCCTCCCCTCACATACTCCCTCAAGGCAAGCCTCTTTAAACACACTTTGGAGCTCCCAAACACCTTGTTACCACTGTTGTTGCCTTCTGGGTCCCAGGGTTAGGGAATACCTTCATCAGAAAGTAATGAAGGAAATTCCCATCACCAGTCCCACCCCTCTAGGCCAGCTTAGTCTGTGGCCTCTGTCTTGGTCCCCCGGGGCACCAGGAAGATGGCACCATCGGCAGCCTGTTGCAGTGTATATTCTTCAGGGGAGTAGCTATTGCCTGATTCATCCCGAAGGTGCTGGAAAATGTCACGGTACAGCTCTGTCAGCTGTTGGCGCATGACTTCCAGGGTCCGGTCTGCCTCCCCGCGGGCCCTGAGAAGCCGTTCCCGTTCACTGCCCAGCCGCTCCAGTTCCTGCTCCAGCTGCACGATGGTCTCCAGCTTTCTCTTGCGACAGTTCTGGGCAGCCACCTTGTTCTTGCCCCGCCGTCGGATGTCCCGGACTAGTGCCAGCTGGCTCTCTGTCAGCGGGTACCTTGCCAACAGCTCATTAAAGTCATCTACCGGCAAGTTGACAATCTTGTCCGTAGGAAAAGGAATCTTCATGGCCAGGGCCCGACGTTCATCCCGACTCCCTGCCTCGCCCCGTGCAGTAGGCTTAGCCCGCACAGGGCCTGAGGAGGGCTCTAAGGCCAAGGGGGTCTCAGTGGGTGGCAAGGCATAGTTGCGGGGGGCCAAGGAGTTGGGCATAAGTGAGTAGGGGTACTCCACCGAGTACATCTCCACATACTCACGCCGCCGGTCTGTCCCCTCCAGCTCAAGAGATTCAGCATCACTATAGTTGAGGGATAATCCTGAGTCAGATTCTGGGTCTTCTTGGGGCTTGGGTGGTCCCGCTGGCAGCCCAATGTCCAGGAGGGCCAAGGGGTCTGAGAGGGGCTCACTGAGCAGGCCTGAGAGGGTCAGTGGTTTGGAGACTGGTATGGCCATGTTGCCATAGGAGTAGGGGGGGTCTGAGACATGGGATGTGGATGCTGGGAGCTCATAAGGTGGTGGAGGAAGGGGGAAGCCAGCATCTGGGTGAATTGAGCAGGGGCAGTAAGTTGGGGGTGTCGAGGGTCCAAGGTATGAGGCTTGGGGCTCAAACGATGGCTCACTTGGAGCATTTAGACCCTGCAAGGAAAGACACAAAGAGGTTTGGAGACAGGAAGAGAAACCAGCACTCTCTCAAGACCAAGCTGTGTTCTGAAAGACCCCGTGAGATAGTAAAAAGGAAAGAGAAAGGCGCTAAAAATCATTGGAAGCTTCTTGTGAAGTTGTGATGCAGCTGTTCCAAGAAGAAAGCAGCTTAAGCAAGAATGGAAGTCACTGAGGTCGGACTTCAGAAAAGACTACCTAACATTGGAACAATTATGAAATCTCCTCCTCAGGAGAAAGTTCTTACTGGGTTGAAATGGCTCATGTTCCTTTATTTCCTTCAGGAAGACAAGGCGTTGTTATCCAAGATGACCCCTCAGAACACTTTCCTGCTGCGGTTATCTAGGGTCAAAGGGTCAAATTCAGACCCTGGCCATGCCCTGGGTGCCCAGCAGAGGGAGCTGCTGTGTGGCAGGAGGGCCTAGGGCAGATGCTGAGGGCACCAGGCATGGCATCAGGAGAGGAAAAGGGGGCGGGCTGGAGGCTAAGAAACACCGTGGGGAGCCAGCACAAGCTCTGCCCTCTCCTCTTCAGGGCTTCTGTCCCTGCCCAGGTGCAGTGAGGAGGAGAGAGTGTGCTGGAAACAAGGCCCCCAACCCACATCGGGGAGCCACCCTGTTCCAGCCCAGCTGGGACAAAGGCATCATTGTTAAGCCAACAGTCACCCCTTTGTCCAACTACCAGGAGGAGAGGACCCCAGCACAGTCTGCCTCCCCTTCCTGAGGCCTCTGAACTACTGCTACCTGGGGGAAAGGGGCCCAGCTGCTAAGGGCAGGGGGAGGAAATGAGGGAAGAAGGGCAGGATTTGAGGGGAGGGAGCTCAGAAGAGAATAAGGTGAGCAATGGAGGGCAGAGCAGGAGGTGGGGTAGAGAGAGATGTAAGCAGATGGCTGCTGAGAAAGCCTACAGCCCAATCACATCCTTCCCTCCCCACCACTCCTATCCCCTGCTCCTCCACACTCCCTTCTCCTTGATGTTCCTCAATGTCTTCCATCCAGATCTCCCCATACTCCAGCCCTTCCTTTTCCAGACCTGTAACATTTCCAGCCCTGAGCCCTGCCTGCTCCCACCTGCTGCCTCAGTCCAGGCCAACTCCCTGCTTCTCCCTTCGTCTCCACTCCCCACCCCCTTCCCGCTCCCTCCTCACCTGCAGCTCAGTGATGGACATGATCTCTTGCCAAGTCAGTTCCATCTCGCCCAGCTCTGGAGTGGGCAGCTGTATCACCCTGTTCCTGCTCTGCTGGGGAGGACACGGGGGCATCCTACTGGACCAGGGTCTGGTCCAGGTTCCCCCAAAGCCCAAATGGCCTCAGAAACCTGTGTTAAAGGAAGAAGGGTGTTAGAGCTGCACCTGCTAGGATCAGCAAGTTTACCCCAGAGAGGGGCTCCCTCCAGCTTCACATAAGGGAAGGAGAGACCCCATCTCCCTCACTCATGCTGGTCTCATTAACCAACCCCTTAAGCTGGAAAGTCTTTTTCTGTGGAGTGATCTCTACCTCACCTATTATGGCTGTAGTCAGGTCCTTTGGGAGCACATAGGTCTTTACCTTTTCTCCAGACAAGATGCCTTCTCTTTCCCCTACTTCTTACTCCCCAAAATGGTTTTTCTGGCCAGGGGCAGAGTCAGATCTTCTGGGTTTTTTGTTTTGGTTTGTTTTCTGTTTTCTGTGGCAACATCAGAAGTCATCCCTGCTTTCTTCCTCTGTCCTCAGTTTTAGGGTCTCTGCCTTTTCTTCCCAAAATGAGAGTACGTGCTTGGGAATCCCCAAGACGTGTTGTGGAAAGAGCCAAGCAGACAGCCCCTCCCCTTCTCCATGATATGGCCCAGGCCTGGTGGCTGATAGCAGCCCTGCCCTCTCCTCCTATCCTGCCCCTGGGCTCCCCTGCCTGGGCCAGATAAGGGGTTTATCAGCAGCAGGCAGCAGAGGCAGAGTAGGAATGGACTCTGGAGACACTGGACCTCTTCCCTGTGTCCTCACAGAATCATTTTGGCCATACCCCAACCCATACAACCAGAGGTCTCTCCTCTTCTGAGGCAATATAATGATGATAACAAAGACTTACTAAGCACTTGTCAAGAACTGTACCAGCATTTTACAAGCATTAGTTTATGAGATTGGTTTTCAAAAAGATCTTATAAGGCATATTCAGAAACTGAGACCCAAGCAGATAAATAGCAGGATTAGTTCTGGAATCTGACTCTCCTTGCCTACAATGCCTTCAGGCACCTTCCATCCCACCCCTGTGTCTCCATATTCCAGTCCTCCATTGGCAGCCTACATCAGTCAGTTCTTTCTGTAGAGTCTGTCTCTTTTTATTTACTTATTTGTTTATTTTGAGACAGGGTCTCACTCTATTGCTTGGGCTAGAGTGCAGTGGCATCATCATAGCTCAAAGCAACCTCAAACTCCTGGGCTCAAGTGATCCTCCTGCCTCAGCCTCTTGAGTAGCTGGGACTACAGGCGTGCACCACCATAATTAGGTGCACTAGCTAATTTTTTCTATTTTTGGTAGAAACAGGGTCTCGCACTTGCTCAGGTTTGTAGAGTCTGTCTCTTTTCTCTCCTGGGCAATATCTCTTTCAAGCCTTAAATGCATACTCACCTCCAATCCCTTTTCTTTTGATCTGGACTCTAGCTGCAGCTCTGCCACAAAGCAGCAGAGTGGCGTTGGGCAAGCCATCTCACTTCTCTGGACCCCTGTTTCCTCATTTGTAAAACTAGGGAGTTGGACAAGTTGAACTCAGAGGTTCCTTTCTGCTTGGAAGGCTTAGAGTTCTCAGCAAAACCTCAATCCTGCCTTTATATTCTCCTCTCTGTCAGTCCCTCTCCTCATGCTGCCTCCCTATTCCCTGACACCCGTCTCTCCCTGCATCTGTTTTTCCTGCCTTCCATAAGAGATCCCAGGTAGATTTGGCAGGGGCCTCCTGATCTCTTAGAGCTAGACATTACACTCATGCACATACACACACACACACACACACACACACACACACACACGCACATATGCGTGCACACACATGCATGCACACGCATGCACTGCCATATAAGGAAAGGAAAGCTGGCTAGAGGTGAAGGAAACTTATAGAAGGACAGAGGATAGGACTGGATGACCTCAAATTACATGACCTTAGACCACCCACCACAAAGATGGCCCACCACAGCTATTTAATATGGAATCCACTCTTTGACTTACCACAAAATTAGTGGAAACTACAAATTATCCTTTTGAAAGAGGATTTCCCCTAGTTCCTGCCTCCACTGCCTTGTTATATTGCCATCCCCAGAGCTGGGAGTTGGTGTAGGCACAGGCTTTTGGCCAGTGGGCAGAGTGGGTGGGGTGTTTATGTCTGTCCAGGATGCCATTTCAACACCGGAACCCCACCCTCCCCTACCCAGGTTCTGACGGAAATTGCCCAAAGGCAAAGTGAATGGAGAAGGGGTTTAGGGGCAGGGACAAGACTCTTGCCTCATAGTTCTTCATCCACCCCACCCCTCATTTGTCTCTCCTTTATTTTTCTGGATGTAACTTTAAGGTATAGTACAAAGATCCTGCCCTAGGAGGTAGGAGAAGGGGTTCTATGGCCTTCAAGATGCATGACCTTGGGCAAATTGCTTCACATTCAGTCTGTTCCATTAAATGGAGATAGGACTAGAGGACCTCCTTGCTGTGAGAGGCAGTATATTGCATCTAGCTCAGGGAGTCACTACATTCACTGGGCTACGTGTAAAAACACAGATTCTTAAAATCCACCCCAGACCTACTGAATTGAACTCATAGGTGCAGGCACCCAGGAATCAGCATTTTAACAAGTGCCCAGTGATTCTGATACAACAGACCAACCTTGCCTTGAGAAACACTAAACTAGTCCAACTGTATGGATTTACAGGAAAGAACACAAAGCCAGAAAGGAGGCCAGAAAATGATCTCTAAGCAGCTTCTAACTTCACTTCCTTGACCCAAGCAAGGTTGGGCTCCAGGTGGCCCCTGTCTCTGAGCCTATATATCAGCCCCTTCTCATGAAAACCTGGAGCTCAGTCTCCCCCTCCTCCTGGGACAGGAAAATGAGAACATAGAAGGGGAGCAGAGGGAAGCAGGAGGTCCGGGGACAGGGAGTTGAGGAGAATTTCTGGATCAGCTCCAGCCAGCTCTCCAGTGTAGTAGCAAGTTTGCACCAGGCTACAGGAGGAGCAGGATGTTTTTCCCTACACACTCAAAGGTGGGTAGTGGTCTATACACCAGGCATAGGTCCCTCTGGGTCTTAGGAGGTATTTCAGAGGACAGGGGAACCGGCAGGTGGAGGTATAGATCAGGGAGGGAGGTGTAGTCAGATCCAATTCTGCACCATAGAGTGCAGAAACTGGGGAGGTACTGGGGAAGTGGGCTTCCCTGTGTTCCTTTTCCTTTTACAATAATAAGCAGCTCCCACTTTACAGTTTAGCCTGCATATTACGGTCACACGACATCTTATTCCCACTGAGTTGGCCGTTCCTTCTCTTATTCCCCAATATTGTGGATCAGGTAGAACTGCAGCCATCTGCAGGGACTAAAATTCATCTTCCTTACTCTTATCCTGATGGTCCTACCTAACCAGAAAGATTTTATCATAATCCCCCACTACTCACAGAATGTTATGGAGCTTTCTGATTAGGGATACAGGGCGAGGAGAATTTGGAGAGTGACGCTGGGGAGAGGAAGGCATTTGGCCTCCACTGCTGCTCCAGGGCTCTCAACTTCCTTGACAAGAGGGAATGATGAGAGAGGTCCCTCTTCTGAAGCTCATTTGACTATCCCACCCCTCCAAGTGTCAGTACAGGCAGTAAAAGGATAGGGAAAGGTCAGTAAAACGTGGGATGTGGGTTGGCAAGTAAGCAACCTATTTAGAAATATGAGGGAGAACCCCCAAAGAGGGAGAGGCACACAGAGGTGAGACAGAGAAACAAGCAGAATGAAGGAAACAGGAAGAGAGAGTCGATCAGAACAGTGTGAGCTCAGTCCCCTGGTGGCATGCCTGACTCAAACCTGAGTGTGGGAACAAGGCAGAAAGGGGCAAGTTTCTGCTGTCCTGTCACTCCATCCCTGGACCCCAAACTCCAGTCCTTTGGAACCAACGACTAGAGAATCCTAACCCCAGCAGATCTGATACACCTTCTCTTGTCTTCCCCTGCTTCCCAATGCCCTACTACCCAATCAGCCCAGGGTTCCAGTCAGAAGGAACTCCACTGGGGTTGGGATGCCTTCCTCTCCCTTCCAGTTCCAGTGGATCTCTACTGCTCCTGGGCCCAGAAAAAGAGGAGCAATGAGGGGCAACACCCAGTACCCACCACCCCATCTTGCTGCAACAACACTTCTCAGAGATCCAGAGATCCCGTGTCTTCAATTCCTTAGCTTCCCCCAAACCTTCCCAGCTGGCTGGACAGGGCAGCGGAGTGGAGTGGGTAGGGGAAAGGGTGATACCACATAGCTGGGAGTCTGCTGCCTCTCCCAGGGCAGCCCACCAGCTGAAGGGTTCCCAGCCCCCAGCAGTGCCTCCGGAGACCACCCGCTAGTCCCCATCTAGTCTCCTACCCCAAAGATCCCAGAGCACTCAAGCCATCTAGGTCTTTTCATAGAGAAGTTTCCAAGGATGTCAGATTCCTAAACCAGGGGCAGTCTGGGAAGGTCTGAGATCTCCTAAGAACATCCTGAAAGTTGGTTATTTCCCCCTCTACCTTCTCCCTTCCCAGCCTGCCCCTCAGAGCCCACTGGAATCCACCCGCCCACGCCGCCTTTCAGGCACCTGTGGCAGAGTCCCAGCAAGGTGAGGAGATGAGGCTCCGGGTGTTGTCTCTGGGGAGGCTGGGCCTGAGCTGACACCTTCTGGGCGAGGATCCCTGCTACCTCTGAGAGTCCGCGAGGGCCGCGCCCCGCCCCCAGGCCATTGCTGGGCTCTGAGTGCGGAGGCTGGGGCTGGGCTGGGGCAGGGAGCCCCAAGCAGGCGCACCAGCCTGCTCTGAGAGGCCCTCGGCCTGAGTTCTCAGTCCTTCCTCCAACCCTCCCCTTTCCCCGAGGCTCTCCTCTCCTCCTGCCCCTTCTGGCCAAGAGAGGAAACTTGAGCCTGGTGTGGTTTCTGCCCACACCCCGCCCCCACCTTGCTCCCTGCCAGCGGGGGCACACATGGCTCCAAGCCTCTCCAGCCCTCCTTTCAGCCCAGGACTCCAGCCAGGTCTTCGTTTCTTCCATGGCTGTGATGAATTCCAACCTGATGGTCCACTCAAAAATGACCTCTACACTTTATGTAGGTTGTAGCCTCCTTCTTCTCTCCCGTGGCTTCCTTAGGGACAGGGAAACTGAGTCATAGCAAAGTGGAAGGCAGCTGAAGGTAAGGACCAGGTGTCTATCCTCCCAGCTGTTTAGGCAGGCAGGCATTTAGGGCACAGCCTTCATTCAAGAAAAACCTGGGCTCTGAGAACAGGGTAGGGGAGCTGTTTTGAGGAGGAGGGGCAGCTGGCTGCTTTGATGTGTCCTTTCACCTGTAGCCTTCTCCCCTCCCCCCTCAGCCTCAGATGTCCTGGGACAAAGGCCTCTTTCTTGGCCAGGTTTTTTGTCAGTGTGTGAGGGGAGTTAGGTGGGGGGGCTGCCCAGCAGGGAGATTATTCACCTCCCTTAAAGGGGACCCTCGGTGCCCTCTGTCCTCCTTTCTCCCAGGCAAGGCACCCCAGCCACATGGCAGCCACATACCTAGGACAGGCCAGGACATGTGTGTGGGCTATCAGGTACCCTCAGAAGTCACTCATTCATCCTTTTGTCTCAATGGGAGTGGTGGCTCACACCTATAATCCCAGCGACTGGGAGGTTGAGGTAGGAGGATCACTAGAGGACAAGAATTTGAGACCAGCCTGGGCAACATAGTGAGATCCTCGTCTATAAAAAAATGGAAAAAAAAAAAAAACCCACAAACTAGACAGCCATGGCAGTGTGTGCCTAGCTACTAGGGAGGGCTGAGGCAGGAGGATTGCTTAAGTCCCTGCACTCCAGCCTGGGTGACAGAATGAGACCTGCACTCCAGCCTGGGTGACAGATTGAGACCCTGTCCCTAAAAAAAAAAAAAAAAGAGAGAGAGAGAGAGATATTCCTTCCTTCCTTCTAGCTTTTAGTGGCTTTCAGCTCTAAGGAAAGTCCTTCATAAGTCTATCTTAAATCCTTACAGCAGTAGCTTACATTTTTTTCTCTATTTTTTCTTCTTATGGTGCTCAAGTAAGAAACATTTGATGACTGGAGAAGCAGACAGGTGCCACCCCAAGGGAGGGCTGGCATTCAGCCAGCATGATCTAATAGGATTGTGTTCACTGTTAAAATAATGGAAAATGTTCTGTCCTAGTTGATAAAGAGCAGCTTCTGTAAGCCCTCCAAGTGTCCCCTACTACTGCACCACTACCTAGGCCACCCAGTTGTCCCCTGAGATCCCCCACAGCCCAGCAACACAACCATTCAAGCGAAGAGGCAATCCTGGTGCCACAAGGAGCCTCCTATGCCACCTGCATGTGCTGGAATTGATTAATCCCTATTCCAAACCCATGGTTGCGTGCTTTGAATTCCATCCCTATCCTAGTAGACCATGACTGCGCATGCCTGATCTACGTAGGACAGGAGGCAATCCAATGACTTCATCGCATGTTACCTGTGAGTTCAGAATCTTTTGATGACCTGGGCTTGAATCTGGGTCACATACATGGGCTTTCAGCTATAGCTCTCTCGCTTGCATACTTATTTGGGCCCCCCAGAGGGGATGAGCGGTGATGATAGTCACACTTGTGGCTGATTATATAATGATATCAGGTTACAGATAGGCAACAAACATTTATTGAATAAGAATTTCCAGTGCAGGACACTGTGGTGTCACCACTGCAACTATGGATAACACAAGCCTAATCATTCATTCATTCAACAAGTATTTATTCAGTGTCTACTGTGTTTTACACTCCAGGAACACAAAGATGAGTAAGACATAGTCTGCGTCCTCACTCACATTCTGGTCGGAGAATTACATTAATAAAGATCTATATAAAGTGGTATGGAGCAGAAGAGGAAATAAGTTCCGCCTGGTGAAATTTAAGGAAGACTTCATAGAGGAGGTGACAATTAAGCTGGACTGTGGAGAATGACTCGGAATTTCCCAGGCAGAGAAGGGAAAAAGAGTATTCCAAGCAAAGATGTGGTGGCACAGAGGCATAAAACACAAGAGTGATACTTTGGGTTTGCTAGGGTGGGGTATGGGGTGGAAAGCAGTAGAAGATAAGCCTGGAAAATTTGACTGGGGCTAGAATATAAAGTGTCTTGAAAGTGAAGCTAGTGAGAGTGTATTTGATTCTGTAAGCAAGAGGGAGTCAAAGAAGTGTTTGAAGTCATTTCCTGCTTTTTGGGGGGACAGACATGGTCACGTAGGGGTAGGGTGAGGTAAGTGAAGAGACAACCTTCATTTAGGTGACTGGCTAGGGCAGAGATGACTCTCCCACCTCACCCCCACTCCTCTCCTACAGGAAGAGGACTTTACTGTGGTTCCCAGGCTGTGTCCTGCCTCCACAGCACCTTTTAAAGCCCTCAGGGGAAGGCTGTAAAGGGATGGTTAGCTCCTTCCTCTCCAATTCCTGAAGTCCGGAGTCAACACCCTTCTACCTTAAGTCTCCTTTGCTTGATTTATGAATTGCAAGGCATTAGGAACCATGTGCCAGCCTGAATGGGTTGGATAGTACATGTGGCTTGGCAGGGCAGGGATGCCTAAAACTTTCCTATCCCCAAGATTCTCCCACTTCAACAAAGGTAGCGGAGACAGAATACAGAGAAAAATGTGGCCACGTATCTTTACTATTTTATCATTCTTCACCTATTCTGCTCGCCCACCCCTAAAAGGTTGACATGTTGTCACACCTGGTCAACCCATCCCCACCCTCACCCCCATAACGTGTAGTGTGTGTACACTACCACCATCAGCCGGTCAAGCCACAAGCAATGTTGCCAAACACCCCACTGGGTTATGCAACCAGCTTCCCGAGTAGGGTGGGGTGGGTAGAGGTGGAACCAGGGGAGGGCCACGGGTCCCAGAGGGAGCTGGCTGCCTTGCCTGCTTGACTGCTGGTCTGACCGCAGTGGCCTCAGAGGGCGGGGGAGGGCTGGCCCTTTATCAGTGCCCTGCAGAGTTGCACCCGCCACCCCCTGGCTTCCTCTCTCAACAGACGGAAAGGGGAGGCAGCCACAGGGGGTAAGGGGAGGGCTGGGTGTTATCCTAGGCAGCAAAGCCAGGCGGTTACCCCGATGGTGGGGGGAGGTGGTGGAGGGGTCTGGGACCAGGGAATAGTGAGGCCCCTCTTACTAAAGTAAGGGGGGTGGTATAAACTGAAGCCCAGGTGGTGGATCATATCTCCTGAGCCATGCACTCATTTTTCCTTGTGTTCCAGTTTGGAATAGGATAAAAAAATAAAAGTCTTTGAGGAGGTTCTTTTCCTGAGGTAAGAAGTTTTAGAGAGTTGACTCAGGAGTTGAAGGGATACTGAACCCACTTTCATTCCAAAAGAGCTTGGGGCTTTCAAGGGAACGGGTAGGACTGACATTCTCAGACCCTGGCATCTAAGAGTTGTACACAGCTAGCAAACTCCAGCACTGACACCAGAATGGATGAAGGCTGATAGATGAATCTAGAATAGCCCAGAAGAAATAACCCCATGAGGCTTAATTCTAAATCTAGAAAGAAAAGTAGGTTTCATGGTACCAGATCTTGAATCTTAAGACTTGGGCTTAGAGCTGGGTATGATAGATAGGGTTCGCCTATAGTCCCAGCTACTTGGGAGGCCGAGGTGGGAGGATCACTTGAGCCCAGGAGTTTGAGGCCAGCCTGGGCAACATAGTGAGATCCTGTCTCTAAAAAAACCCCAAAAAACAAAAATTTAGGCTTGGGCTTGGGTCCTGGCATTTACTTGCTATGTGGCCTTGAGCTACCCAATTTTTCTGAGCTTTATTTCCTCATCTGAAAAATGGAGATAATGATGATAATATCCACTTAGTGGAATTGTTGGGAAGGTAAAATGGGATCAATACAAAATGAGTCTGTTATTTTTAGGAGATGAAAGCTTAGATACCTGGAGGCCAGAGTGCGTCAGGGGCTTGAGGAACTGAGAACGCCCTATCTGGAGGCCAGGATCTGGTAGAGAGATGCTTGGGACAGAACTGGAGCAGGTAGGTAGCCTGATTCTGGGAGAGAGCCAAGGCTAGGATACACCAGTGTTGGTGGGGAGCCCTGGGGGCTAGACTTCCAGGAACTAGCCCTCAGGCCATGGCTCTCCATCCCAGCACTACTGGGCAGGGCTAGTTCTAGCCACACAATGGGCACAGTGCCAGGCTTATGGTTTCAGTCACCTTCCAGGAACCTCAGAACCTCCACCCCACACTATTGCAATCCTCTGCAGTGGGCGGAGCTTCCTGGGAAGTCCCACTCTCTGCTCTTCGAGGATGGAAGGCCAGACGCCTGGCTATTTACTTACCCGTTTCATAGGCATCGTTTTCATTCCAGCCTCCCATCTTTGTTCCTGCTGCTCCCCTCTACCTGGAGTGTCCTCCTTGGCCTTTTCTACCAACCTGAGGCAGTATGGAATAGAAGAGAGAACTGGGTTTGAGTCTCAGCTCAGCACTTAGCAGTGTGAATTTGGGCAAATCTTTGAAACTCAGTTTCCCTTTGGTAATTGGGGAGAACAGAGCTTCCATCACAGGTTGTGCGATCTCATGAGGCAATGTACATACAGTGCACATACAGAAAGTACATTAATGTTGCTTCCCTTCTTCTGATCTACTCTCCGAGGTCCAGTTCAGTTGAAGCTCTAGCTCTTCAACACTTTTTCTGGCTACTTTAGTGCATATACATACTCCTCTTTTCTAATTCCTTTTGCAATGATATGTACCAGTGAATTAATAACCTCATTTAAATATTTTACTTTCTATTTAAACCATATGATTTCATGTTTTATGATATCCTCCTATAATAGTGATGATATAAACTGTATTGTACAAGAACTTGTCTCAGGCACCATAGTATCATGGTTAAGAGCATGAGTTTCAGAGTCAGAAATGCCT